CATCAGTAACTGAGGTGACAACAATAATGTTCCATTAAATAAATCTTTCTCGAAAAGAGATTGAAAAAAAAATGATAAGAAAAGGGAATAAAATATTGAAAAGACAGGAATGATAAAAGAAATATGAAAAAATACTTTTGTCACTTTCAAATTAATTTACCTTATTGTTATATATCAGGATAAATTTCAATATTTCGCATTTTCTTTTATAACTATTTATCACTTAACTAAAATTGATATTATCATGTATCATACAAAAAATGTCTAAACAATTTTATCACATTGTAAAAGCGAGTGATAAATAAAAATTTAACTAATTCTGATTAAAATTAAACTATAAAACTAATCATTAATTATTTGAATATTGGATTAAATTATCCAATCATTGAATGAAATTAATCAAATATGAACATTTTTTTTTTTTTTTTTTAGAAAGCATTAAAATATTTTTAAAATTAATTTATGAAATAAATCAAAAAATTATTGATTGAAAAAAAAAGTAAATAAATAAACATACCAAATCTACTGAGATTATCCAATATTTCACCCATAATTTATCCTAAAATTTGGGTATTATTGAGAAAATTATAAAAGGTTGAATGTTTTTGATTGGGACGGTAAAAATGAATCAATCAATGTTACAATAAGATAGAATTGATGACGCAGTAATGCAGTAAAATGAAGAAGAGCTATGTTTTGAAAATAAAATTACAAGAAAAGAAAAATGAAAAGAAGATTAGTAGGAGGGAAAAAAAGTAAAAAAGAAAAAAAGCGAGAAAGAAAGAGCAGTGTAGAAAGATGATGATAATATCTGAAGGAAATATGTAAAATTTAATTGATCATTATAATTTCAATTTCGTTGATCATAATCAAAAAGTAAGCAATAATATCGTAGCCTTTATCATCATCATCATCATCATCATTTTTTTTATTATTATTATTATTTCAACATTATCATCATTATCATCAGTGCAATTGTTAGATTATTTTTATCCATTCTTGTAACGATGTAAAATTTAAAAGACCTTTTGAGAAGTAATTTTGATCGTAATCTTAATTAAAAATCGTAGTAATATTATATGTGATTTTTGTTATTTATCACTATCATTGTTATCACCATCATCAATGCTATCGTTATTAAATCACTGATATATAAATCAGCATCACAATTTAGCATTATTAATTTTGTTAAATAATAGTTATTTTATTCCATTTCCATAAAAATGCGAACTTTATTAAACTATTGATAAGTAATTCCTTTTGCGATATTTATCAACAGTATCCAATAATATCATCGTTGATCTTTATCATCATTATCACTAAATCATTATCACTTATTACTACCAAATCACTACTTTAATTGTTACTAAATCACTGCAATTATTACTAAATCACTACCATATATAAACGCATATATGAATAAACAAAATTTATTAATTTACTGATTTTGCTAAATGATAAATATTTCTTTTACTTCTGTGAAGTTTGAAATTTATTAAATTTTGAAAAAATTTGAAACTGTCTTATTTTTGTCATTAATATCATTTATGGGTTATTGTATATTTACGACAAC